GTGGTGGCGGCGGTGCGTGAGTCAAAGGGAAAAAACAGATCGCACGCAGGCGCTTGTGATACTGCTGATTACAGGTGTATAAATAGGGGTTCGCGATCTCTGCCTATGCGTAAGTAGAGATTTTTTTCTCATCACTTTCTCCGGGCGGTGCGAACTTTGAAATAACCCCATCCAGAATCCGGTACATAAGCAAGAATAACTGTCCACCCTTCGCCTATTAACTTCTCCTAAAATGATGGCCGTTGCTCGGTTGGTATGAAATTCTCAGGGTTTTTTTAATAAAACCCGACAGCTCACTGAGTTAATAAAAAACAGTCATCTGACTCTCCTGAGCCAGTATAATCCAGTCCACATCACACTATTTGTCTAAGATCTATTTTAATATTACCGTTCTACGCCTAGGTATTTCAAGTAGTCTTATATGGAAGTTTCCGAAAAAAAATGTGTATTCAATACCCATCCCATACGCGCTACATCCCCACACCTGAATTACAACGATAAATTAATACGTAACTGACCTCAATATAAAACGAACGTAAATCCGCCCTTCAAGGGTTTCGAATGATTTTCCGACAAAAATAACGATTATTTAAACAAGTGACCTTTGTGTTCTGAGACACGAAATGAATTTTTTAAGTACCGTTTACATTAACTTCGGCTGCAAGGAGTAAAATCATTTTGTTCAGAAAAACTCTACAAGAACATTAAACGATCGATAAACGTTGATTCAGAGACGTATGAAGATGGTCGAAATATGGGGCCTATATCCGGTTTCCAGAGAGAAGTTTTGTGACCCCTAACCAAATCGCAAGGTAATGCACAGATTACATTAATCATTGCTTTGTCAAGGTGAAACAAGATGGTGACCTTCCTCTCTGCTCCACACAGCACCAAACCTCAACTGGCCATCGCGGATTTTTGCTGTCGGCACAATATTAGCAACGACGGGCAGACCACAGGACTGGGTTTCCTGTTTCTTTCTGAATTACTCTGAGAGACCTCTGAATGCAAACAATACGTAAAACCTGTCACCAAAAATTCCTTACATATCGGGAGAACCAATCATCTGAAAATTCGAAATCGTAATGTTATCATCCTGTTGCGCGCGCAGAAAATGTCCATCCATGGTCCTTACTAAACACGACGTGGGAGTAGAGGTATAGCTCCACTCACTCTTTGCCTCGACAATAGATGGCGAGTATAAAGTCTATTTGCCAGATACGCAGATCTGTGGCTTGGCATGTGTCACATTTGGACACACATGTTCGGGGTGCGTACTCCGCTAACCACAGTACAGTTCTTGGAAGGAAACGGGAAAAGCCAATGAAAACCTCTGATGGCCAAATATCCACCACCTCCGACAACCTTTCACTTTTATAGCTTAAGCTTAACAGGGGAAAAAAAAAAAAACTAATTCCAATCACTGTCTGCATGTTAGGACGACCTGGTGTTTTGTCGACCACTTTATGGTTATTCAATAGGTTAACGAGTTCCATAGACGGAATCAAAAGTCATGTGACCAATGTTTCACAACCTCTTCCTTACAATGGCCATTTTATATAATATACAATTAATTTTAATATAATCCTCACACCTGTGCTTAACTCAAAGGCAGCCTTGTCACATGTATTTAAGATAATAGAACTCCTAACTGATACGTACAATTAAACTGGCTTAAATTTCACGTAAACACCAAACAACAGATTAAATCGAAATCCGCAAAGTAGCACGGGAGATAAAACACACTGACAGACATAAACAACAGCCATATTATGCGTTCATTTTGAGAAGTGTGCAAAAAAAAAACACCGTACATATGAAATGACTATTACAATTCCGATGTAGTGTAGTTATAAAGTCATTATATGCGACGGGAAGACATATGGTTGAATCATGAACAAGTCTTTCCATGTACGATAATGGAACAACGATAATTATGGCATGGCCAATTATCTTACGATCTGCCTTCTGCACAGATAATCATTTCGTTTGTCCTTGACAAATAACAAAAGTAACCACGCGTTCAAATGAAAATTTAATGACAACGAAACGCGATAAGCCGGAAATCCACAATTAAAAATTCTTGCCATGACCAAAACGCGTGCGGTTTTAAACACGCCATATCGAATGAGTGTTGGAGACTAACTTCAACAGTTGGTTTCATTACCTTGGTGTGCTCTACCGTTCGCAGTGGGCGAAATTCTGTGGCTAAAGCCTTCTTGATCCCACTGCACTATAAGAGTGATATTGTTTGTTGATAATTTCATGAATTTCAGAATTAAAAACCAGTTATCAACAACAAAGCTTCAAACATACTAGTCGCCAAATGCTCAAAGGGCAATGGAAGTTAGCGGAGGTTAAAAATGGTCTGGTTTTTAGCTAAAACGAGGAGACATCGAAAAGCATAGACGTATAGAGATACCTATACGAGAACGGCCAGTGGGAAGACTGAGAATATTCGATAACATAAAAATAAATCTTATGATAACTCGGATGTAACTGGCTTCGGATAGTAATCAGCAGCGGTGTTAAACTTTTTAAATCTAACACAGACTGAGGTGTAACAGGCCCGCTACTAAATTTGAGTCAGAATATTCTATCAGTAAAGCGTCTAAGGAAAATATAAGTGATCGGATTTTGGCCTGCGTAAGAAAACTCCTTCTGGGATTGAGACCTGGTGAAACACACTTGCGATATGGACCTATTATCGATCATATTAAATTAAAATAAATTATTTCGATGCCATTCACTGTAATCCCATATATATTTCTAGAAAATGCATCAAGTTCCTTTCGGGGTTAACACATTCCGAAGAGAAGGTTCTTGTCCAACGAACGACGTGTGGAATTGTTTTAAGCACAAATTGTAACAGCCAAAAGGAAGGAGCGGATAAGCATCACGCGATAAACGGCACTTCTCCAAGAAAGGCAGATAACGTGGCCTGAAGACAGGCTGGCGGTGTCTCAGACGATAAAGCATGACTGTTCAAGGGAGCGTTTTCTGCACACAGGGAGGAAAACTGAGTCACACGTAAACTTAAGTGACGTCATCGGAAAAGACATGGAAGTGACGATAATGGGAGAGTCCAACCTCCACATGCTGTATGATGGCCTACATTTAAAGCTGAAACACTGAAAGGCGACTAACACAACACGAGGAAACCTTCAAGGGTTAATTAAGTCTAATGCAATTTCGGCGTTTACACTTTTAGCATCGCACACAGCGAAAACACAAGGCCAATTCCCAGCCAAAAAATTTTGTAGTTCAGTTTAAATAAATTTTCATATAAACACACACACACAGAATTCCTAAGTGCTAGTTTCTAGCTTCTCGATTATTATTCATCGACAATGAAACGACTTTCCGATGTAGGAGGTACAGTCACATTCAAACTACTAAACGTGTACTGCGAAATGCGCATCTCTGCTATTTAAATAAGTCTTTAGTATGAAATTCGGTCTCAACTGGCGGAGTTTTTGACTGACACCTCCAAGACCAGAGAGAATGATACTGATGTGTTCGTGGTTTTTTACAGTTCCTCCAGACACACGTCAGGACTGCTCTGCCTTAAAACAGCCCACAATCGCTTCCACCTACGTACATCATCCTCAGTCATCCTACAACTGGACGGAAATGTCATCCATGCAACAGGGAACGGAACGGAAGAACCAATCAGAGAACAACCGTGATCATATAACTGGAAAACCCTGAGTGACATTCATGTATCAGAGCTCTTCTTGAGAAGCTAACACTCGCTCAGCTGGTTAAGAAATTCCCTACTTTTTAAGGCAAGTCACCCGAGTCTCTGCGGCGTTAGCACGAACAAATGTGGACGCCAGCCTTCCGTGCAGACTTGAGCAAAAATTCTGTACGCCTCATCCTTTACACTATCCACCGAGCTCATCATCCTCGATTTGATGCCATTAATTTCGATGTGGACAAATAACGAAGCGCCTTATTAAATAATTTCCTCCGGGTTCCTGTTACAGCCTTGACACATTACTGCAGTAAGGATATGGTTGTACTCACAGTCTGCCCGATGGTTCGTTGGACGATTCGTCGCCCTCAATCCGGTAGATCTTGCCATACATGACGTATTCGAAGCTGTCCGCCCGCGATCCCTCGTTGTCGATGGGGTTCCAGTCGCCACTGTCAGGGTAGCCGTCCTCGCGTAAAGTTGTGGCCAGCACTAACCGGAACTTATCACCTGCGGTTAAAACGGAAAACTATCACCACTCCTAACCCATAAATCACCTCGTCAACACCAAGCAATTATTCCATGGATGTCTTTGGCGATTCTATTATACTACCATTTTCATTGTTTTGGTCATCATCCAGAGCCTTATTTTTAAAGTTTAAAAATCTTTGAAAATCACTAGAACGTCTCGAAGGATGGATCTTTGTTTGTCTTCAGGTAAAAAAGGAGGGACACTTATTCTGTTGGATTCGGCAGACCGAGCTATGCTAACAGGTCCAAAATAGCCTACTGATATTTAAAGTAAAATCCAAATAATTATCCGTGGGGGGGAACGGAAATATGTAGATCAGTGACTTCAATCAAGGCGTGGATACTAAACGACCGTCATCAGAATCATGTCACCTCCGGACACCAGTTTCCAGTTGACCTCGACATTCCACATAAATGAAGAGTTACACACATATATTGGATAGAAAAGAGAAGTCCCAGGCTGAAAACTGTACAACAGTGACATAACGATTATTTTCAACACGTTTTCGCTGGCTCCTTCTCACGGACATGACATTGTACAATCACGCAACATCTGTTTACTTCGCCATGCAAGAAATTTCTTCCTGAACACATCACGCCACATTGCGGCCGCGTCACGAACCAGCTACCTTGTTACGTCACAGTCACAAACCGCAGCGCCTCTCTGCCCCCTACAATTGCGTTTCGGGGAAAAAGTGAAAGATTTTTGTCTTACTTGGATTTACGATCCTGTAGGAATTTATAATACGCAGTGGCAAGACGGCTACTTATTACAGTCATGTACATGTTACAACTCACATAATAGTATGACCGCTAAACAGTAATCGACAAATGAACGTTGAAGAAAATAAACCGCGAAGTGCGCCGTTTCTGAACAGCACGTGATTTCCTTCAACCACGATATTTCAAGTTGCTTCTTCTAAACCTGAGAGCCAGTTGATATTATATAGAAAAACGTGCTTATTCCAGTATCGAAAAAACCCGGATATTTCCTTCACTGTAGTGGTTGGAAAAGAAAGGCAAAGTTAATGTGAACGTAATATATGACCCGGTTTTAATTAAATTTAATGTTGGAGAATTTTACGAAAAACTGTACACCATTTTAATTCTGGCTACTACTTTACAAAAAAATTTATCTCAAAATCTTTCGGAAAAAGTTGCATAATTTTTTATCCTACTCGGACAAGCATGAAAAATAAATTTCATTAACTGTACCACAAAAACATATTAATCAATTCGAATTATTAACTACGATCAAAGATGGCGTCATGCGCATTACAGTTCACTTTTCATTCTAAATTTGGCGAGAGCAACTCATTACGTCCCCCCCCCCCCCCCCA